GGAGTCCACACGTCTTAAAGTTGCCACGGTTGAGAAACACTGCCTTAGGCACTCAGTTGGTAATATCAGAAGTAAGGAGAACATGGTGAAGGTGTCAAGCGCCCTCTGCACTGGGGACCCCTTCCCTTATTTGCTTTCTTTCTTTCAAACTTAAGGCATAACCCCATCAGCCCAGGGATATTTATAAAGGATCTGTTGGTTTTGCTGATGCCACAACCCCTTTCCAAATCTCTCTTTTTAGCATATATCAGAAATAACATAAGTAGTTCTCTAACTCTCAAGTAATACAGCTGGAAAGCTCTGTTAAGGCTATTTAGTCCTCCCTCAGAGCAGGAATCCAAATTAAAGCACCCCTGATGGATGGCTCTCTAGCCTCTGTTTGAACAGCTCCAGAGAAGGGGACGATGCTCCTTCCCTGGGTCATGGGTTCCCCTGTCAAACTGCTCTTACTCTTAGCACTTTTTTTCTAACATTCAATTGGACTCTGCCTCCTGGTAATTTAAATCCATTCTACTGAGTCCTGCGCTCTGGAATGAGAGGGGAGAAGTGTTGACCTTCTTAGGAGCTCCTTTCAGGTAGTCTTCATATCAGCCGTCGGTCAAGTTTTCTCAGGGTCGAACATATCCAGTTCTTTCAATCTCCCTTTGTAGAACTTAGTTTCTACACTGCTGATCATCTTTATTGCCCTTCTCAGACCCTGTTGTCTCTGAAGCCCTCGTGGAGGGTGGTCCCCAGAGGGGACACAGTTCTTCGGGTGGTGTGTTCTTCAAAGCCTTTTTTCCTTCCAGGTTCTGCATCAGTTGGAGGCATGTGGCATTGTAGAAACCGTCAACATCAGTGCAGCTGGCTTTCCGATTAGGTAAAGCTATTCAAATATTTGCATTTCTTTCCTCGTTCGTGACTTGCCTTTTTTCTGCGTTTTTCTCCCATTGCCCTGATAATATTTGGAGATGAGATAATAGAATAGACTCTATCTATTATCTCATTCCCAAACATCATCTGTTGCGCTGTCAGTGGGGGGAGAGGATTTCCCCTCCCGTTCTTGTGTTTTTTTAAATAAAATTAGCTAAGCACACCCACACACAATAGACATGTAAAGTTTCTCTTAAGAAACTAGTTTGTTATTTGCAGGTTGGGTAATTGGGTTTTATTTTAGACTTGAGGCCTTTTGCTTACATCCAAATTAACTCTAAAACTAATACAGCTAACGTGGCCTTAGTAGCTGTACAGCAACTTTTAGCTGATATTCCTGGCATCAGCTGATAGCATCAAAGAAAACTATTAGTTTATTATTGGTATTTTTTCTAACTATATACTATTTTGTAGTTCTGCAAATTTTTTGGATTCTTCCAAGCCTTCTGGTCCCATTCACAACATCCTGAACTTTAGGAATAGAGCTATTTAAAGCAACTTCTAGGCTGTCAGATTTGGAATCTGTCCTCTGATTTTGAATCTCTCTTTGCCCAAGGATACATTCATTGTTAAAATAGGTGCAGCAGTAACTACGCATATGCGTGTCCCCTTATCATAGTCAGGGCCTTCATAAATGCCACCAGCTTTCTTAGGGCTGTGATCATTGTTTCTTTTAGGAGGACCTGAAAGATCCATCATTAATCAGAGCCAGATGCAAAGGGATAGCTGAGGGAGTGGAGGTGGAGGAATGGGGGTGGAGAGAGAGTAAAAGAGAGAGAGTTATGCTTCCACAATTAATTTAATCCCATCAGATGAAGACATATCAGTCGCATATACAAAGTACACAAAATTGGGTTGGTGTACCAGACCATTTTTTCCCTGTTTTCCTGGGCAGGATTTCCTTTGGAAGCTTTTTAGAACGTTATGGACTGCTGAAGAAATTACAAAAACAAAATCTGAAAGCCATGTCCAATCAAGAAAATGGCTTTTCCCATGATACAGAGAATGGTAAGTTCTTTAAGGTTGCATCTTCTGGTAATAGAATGGACTATCTCTGACATCAATTGTCTTTATCAACTTGGTGCATTCAGAGTCTTTAAGTTTCTCTTCAATTTTTTTAAATTTTTTGTTCACTTTCTCTTTTCTTTACATTCCTGCCTTTGTTTTTGGATTTTCTGAAATATTTGTGAATTTGCAGATTTCAGAAGTCATAGTACAGTATACAGAATTATGCTGTAGGGTTAAGTTGGGTTACATTCTGCAGAACATTCTTCTTAAGCATCTGTCACAAATAATAGTTCTGAGAAGTTGTATATATGCAGAAACACTAGAGGTACACATGTTCCTAGGCATGATTCCCATTAATCTTAAGTTTTCTTCATTCACCATAGTAATAACATGTTCCTTTGAGTTCTGTGGTCCAATAATATTTCGTTAATATTCTTTTCAACTGTTCAACAGTGAATAGGTAAAGAACATACCTTTCCATGATTGCGTTTGCATACTTTATACACTTATCGTGGTCCTTAATTGTAAAAAGCTCTGTCCATTAGAAGACCTGAAGAACCAGGTTAGGGACAGATCATCATGGTGAAAATCTATCTGTGTAGTCAACAAAAGTTAACACCGACTGGATGGCACATTATCAATCAGTCTATGGGAATGTCTCAGTCAGCATACTGTATGTATCACTGGTTGACAGCATAGAGTCCCCAAGTTGTAGGAGAGGCAACACTGAGAACGATTTTGTGCTTTCACCTGTTCATATACCAGACAGTTGTGTTGTTTAATACAATCTGAACCATCCAATTGCAAAGAAAATCATCAAAGGCTCATAGTACTTTGGAAAGGAGTCAGCAGTTGTAGTTTGTAATTTGGTACATGATTTTGGGAGCCGATTAAACAGAAGAATCCAAAGAACTCAGAAATGATGAGCAGAACTCTTGGTCCTTATCAGGATTCTTCGTTTTCCAAGGACTGGACACACCACAGCCGAGAAGATAACTCTTGTGAGTCGCCCAGAGTTCCCCCATTGGGGGGAGATGGGCGGCTGAAAAGTTTAATTAAATAAATAAATAAATAAACTGTACAGAATACTTCATTGTAGCACACATTTTTCCTGTTGCCCTGGGTTAACTCCACCCTCTGAGGCTTTGCAAGTTGATGTAGCCACGTAAATAGGTCTTTGATGGTTAGACCTTATAACAAGTGAAAGTCTTAAAAGTTTGTAAAGTGGAATGCAACCTTTGCCTCCCTCCAAAAGTTTTTGTACTTGCTGGGACTGGGTGCTGCCTCGGCATGGTTGCTCCTCTTCTGGTTGCTACTGAGCTCCAGAGCAAGCTCTAAGCCAAGCTCCAGGCAGGAATCTCACCACAGTGGGCTGCTTACCATAGCTTGTAGTCCTGGCACTTGACTGATAACCCTCTTGCCTGCCTGTAATAGTTGTACATCCCCAGACATTGCTTCCTGCTTCCTCATCTGCTTGTTGTTATCGTCTCTCTCCTATACACCCACACTTTTGTAGGCAAAGGGCCTAGATGGGGTGAGGCTGCCTATGGACGACGGCATGTTCCTAAAAACACCCGGGTGTGGCTCAGTTAGCCAGACACCTGGAACACCGGCATGGATGCGTGTGAGTAAACTGTGAGTGGGGGAGTGAGTGAGTGAGTGAGCGAGCCCATCTCCTCTCAGGTTTCTGGGGCTGTAAGCTTTTAGTGCCCCTTGGGAGAAAAACCTATGAGCTGTGCTGAGCCTTGGGGAAGTGGGAGTGGGAAGCATTTCTGCCTGGCTGCAGCTGCTTTCCTCAAGTGCAGACAGCAACTCCAGCTTCATTCCTTCACAGTCCCGTTATGTATCTAGAAAGGAGAGTTAAGGAGGATCACTGGGATAACTATGGATGATTTGGAAAGTTCTCCCCCGTGACCTGTTGGTATTAAGCACATCAACAGGCTGCTTTGCTACATTCCCAGTTGGCCCCTCTTAATAGCCACCAGAATTGGAGGAGCAGGGAACTGTAGGTTCAACAGATATGGCAATGGCTGATCAACCCAAAAGGGCGCTAAGTAATGACAGAACAAGAGGTAGGTGAGTGTGCTCTTGATGAGTATCGTGTCTTAATGGCTATCAGCCCAGAGAAGGAGTTATAGCTGCCAGAGGGAGTTCTTGAGCCTGTGGTTAATTGGTTTGGAAAAATTCATGGGCATCCAGATAGTAACTGTAGCATCTTGCAGGCAGATAGGACAAAAAGCCACCTATGGGCTGTAAGAGCTCCAGATCTTGGGATTGATGGTGATCAGTACATTCCTCAGTGGTGTCCCATGCTATGTATGATGTTAAAATTCAAGTGCTGAGGCTGCAAAAGACAGCAGAGGAGTACAGCAGTGGAGAAAACAAGGCTGTTATAGTGAACCTCAATCTTAAGTTTGCAAGTTTGGAGCTTAAAATTGACAGTGTCAAGATGCCAAAGCAGAACAGGGATCCCAAGACAACACCATCAATAAAGAGTCAAGAGTTGCTTAGAAGATGCAGAGGCATTTCTTCCTTTGAGATCTGTTCTCTTGCTGGTCAAAAATTGGCTCACTAATGAGTCAACTAGTGGAGGTGATGTTCCAAAATCAGTTATTAACAATGCTGGAAGAGAACCCTTGACAGCAGAGGAGACAGTGGGCAAGGATTGGTACCAAACATTTATTTTCCTCCTCCTTTTGGCCATATTTGGGATTGTCAGTTGCAGGTCTCCTACGTGGCTGAAAACTCTTCCTCATTCATCTCTGCAGTATTTTACTGGTCAGCACAGGTAGAAACTGGAGACATTGGATATAATTAGTCCTGAGCATCCAGTTTTCCATGTCTCTGGTTGCCCAAGGCAAATTTAGCTATCAGGACTGAGAGATAGATGCCATACCATAGTTCTTAAAATAGACCATCTGTGCTTTTCATGTAAAGTCAAGACTTGGTTTTACCAGCATTTTGTCTTGAATCCTTCAACTTTGCTGGCACAGTCCTTGTTTGCAGTGAACCTCTATAGACCAGTTCACTTTGATTTGCAGAACATTGTTTTCTGGAGAGATCAGCACTTGTTCCTGTATTTCCAAGGACTTTGAAAGAATCTAATGATCTTCTTGCAGAGTTTCTCCAAATGGACTGTGGGTACAGTCTCATGACACAACCATTCCGACTTTCCATTGGGGGATATTTTATGAGGGCAGTAGCCCTTTCTGGTTTTTGTTTTTATGCCTTCAAGTCAGTCTTGACTCCTGGTGACCGCCTGGCAAGTCCCTACAGTTTTCTTGGCAGGAATTTTTGGAAGTGATTTGCCATTGCCTCCTTCCTAGGGCTGAGAAAGAGTGACTGGTCCAAGGTCACCCAGCTGACTCTGTGCCTAAAGCAGGACTGGAACTCTCAGTCTCCCAGTTTCTAGCATGGTGCCTTAATGACAACACCAAACTGGCTCTTTCTTAATTGTAAGAACTGTAATTGTATGAAGTGGGTACTGAAATGCAATTATCTACTGTACTATCAGCTTGACTTTCATTCCCAGTGTTTGTTGCTTCAGGAGAACAGCTGTGCCTTCTGTCTCCTTATAGCACCTACCTGCTTCTAGATAATCCCCTGGATATGTGAATCTCAGAAACCATGATGAAGAACCAATGACTTACCTACCTGTCTCGTTCTTGGAGTGATCCTCTGTAAATTCACCCTTCTAAATTTCAAGGTCCAGGAGATTAGCAAGGGTCCCACCAAGGAGCATGTATGGAATACAAGCAGAATGAGTTCCTGGTAAAAAAAATTAACCTCTGGAAAGTTCTGAAAAGGCACAGAAGCCAAATATATGAATTCACAGATGATCGCTTGAAGAACCACAATTACAAATGAGTTAGTGGTCCTTTTTGGTAGATAAATAGTTCACTTTTGTCATCTTTTTTTTTTAATAAACCCCTAAATATACTAATTTGGGGGGGATTATTGGGTGTTTGGTTTGGTTTTTGTTTTTTTGTCATCTATTCAATGAGTTGTCCACTATCTCTCCAACTGCCCTTTTGGTTTTCCTAGCTCTCCTTGGATTCTTCTTCCACTCTTGCAAAAAATTGCTTCTCTCTACGGCATCCTCTCTCTCTCCAAGCAACACACTTCACCCCTCTCTCCTTGCTTTAGCAGAACAAGGCTGGCTAGTAGAAGAGGTAAGCTTAGATTAGGACTCCCCTGTCATGGGCCAAACTACATGGGTTGGTAGCCCCCATTCAAACAGGAGGGGAAGTTGGGTGGAATTCTGTGTGCTCCAAACGAGCCCGAGGGTCACTTCCAGGTCTGACTGGGTGGAAAGCAGCTATGGGGAAAAGATGAGTGGGGGAGGTTGGTGGGTATTCTGTAGTTCTTCTGTCCAAGTGTGGTGTGGGAACCTACTCTCCTACAGATGTTGGGATTCTGAACTCCCATCTGACATGACTAGTGGTCACACATAATGGACGTTGTAACCTCAACAAGATTGAAAGGCTAATTCCCTAACTCAACAATGGAGCTCTCAGAGGGACATTCTCAGCTTAGTCCAGACTAAAGAGTGTTGTGTAGATTCAGTAAAGAGAGAATCCATAAATGCTGCATCCATTCCATGCAGGAGGGGAGAGAATAGACTCTGGCACATTTAAATCTCACATCATCCTCTGCTTTGCCATTTCCAAGACACTGTCCTATTTTACTTAGTACTTGCTAGATAGAAACCCATGCAGTTTGGCCCACAGTGACTGCTAATATTTTAAAACATTGTAATGTTTTTATTTTCCTTTATTCTCTTACAGGCAGGTCAGTGACACCCCCTGTAGAAGAGAAAGGTGACACTTCGCAATCTAAGGTCCAAGATATCCTTCAGCAGGTGAACCCCAGCAGTTCTTCTGTCAAGCCTGGAGAAGCCAAATCACCCAGCCTATCAACGTTTTGTGGCAAGACCAAAGTATTTTTGACCAACTCCATGGTAGGAAGCACCCAATGGGTTTTGAAAAGGAAAGCAAAATGTTGGGTGGGGGTGGAGTCACTGTGAATTTTGCCAAGATAGGATTCTGTAACGTCACAAGTTTCTAGCCCTCATGAGGACACAGTGAGTGTGCAGTTTGACATGAAAAACAGGTCTGGCAGGTGGGGGCAAAGCACTTCAGTGGCTTAGATTCAGCATTCACATTCTTCCTCCCCACCTGCCTTGAATCTAGAAAAAAATGAAACCATTTTTGATTGGCATAATTTTTTGTAAACCAGGAAAGAGGGGGCGAAGTTTAGCACTGAGCATGTAGTCTTGACTCTGGGGAATAATAAGGAGGGGGGAGTAGGAATCCGTTTTGGCTACACCCAGGTCCAACAAATGAGTCTGTTTTGTTCTACACTCTTTTTCATAGCTGGAGCTTCTTGAATTTCAAAGGGCTTCTGTCTTATCCGAGAACGCGTTCTGCATCCAGTGCTGCTGGAGAAGGTTTAGGAGGCGGAAGATCGCCAGGCAGAAGCAGTCTGCCACCGTCATCCAGTCAGGTGAGGGGGAAGTGGCATGGAGGGCTTACACTGGGGGGTCTGGAACAATTTCTACACATGCTTCGAGAGAGGAGACGTAGTTCAGAGTGAAAGGGCTGCTTTGCAAGTTCAGACTCTGACATATCAATTTAGAGGGACCAAATTAGGGAAATGCTTCCTTTTTCCCAAGGAAGTCAGAAAAGCCATTTGTCCTAGTATAAGAGAGTTTCCATTTGTGTCCCTCTAGCACAGTGTTGTCCAAACTTGGCCACTTTAAGATGAGTGGACTTCAACTCCCAG